TTGGCCTCCAGCTCCAGCCAGTGGCTGCACACCCCTCCCCACCAGCTCTGCTTCCCACCCCCCTTCCTTTGGCTCCCCTTCCTCGTGGCCAGCCCTGTGGCACCCGACCTCCCCCCTCGCCAGCCCCGCCTCCCGCTCCTCTTCCTCCTGGTCAGCCCCTCCCTCCCCTCCCCACAATCAAGTGTGTCCGCTATTTTGGGCGGGTCTACCTGGTAACCCTATTCCCTTTCTCCTTACTGTCTCCTTCTGCTCAGGCTTCCTGGCTTTATAATCTCCACCTAGATCCTCCTCAGCAAGGCCTCATCATTAACTGGCCCAGTATAGCCTCCAGGTGTCACTAGGGAGGTTAATTTGCCTCTCCCATTACAGTTAACTCTTTTAGAACCAGAATGGAATATACAACTTTTCACAGCGGGGATGTAACACAACCTATCAACAACATTCATTCCAGCCTGGAAGCTATAGCTCTAACATACCTCTCCATGGTACAGATTGGACCACTAGTTCTGTATGTGTTAATCACGCATCCCTTTTGTTGCTTCACTCTCTGAGACCAGGGTCAAGCCCCACTATCAGGCTTAAAAATGCCCAAGGATCTCAGCACCTAGTGAACTTCATTAATTTACAACAACAAAGCACCCGAGGGGCCAGTACTAAAAGGACAAAGCTTGAAATCATCACACTTTGGATACCAAGACATAGGCAAATTAAGGGAACATAATTTTAATATTATAATAGCCCATATTTCCATGAATGGATTTCATGAATGTTTTATTTAAACACTAAAAAGAGAACTTGACCAAAAGAAACCAAAAAGAAAGTCTATGGTAGGGAATTTAACTATAATTTATAATTGATCTAACGTAGGGAATTTAACTATTCATGTTCACTGGGATGGCACTTTCAAAAATCCCTTCATTAACTTTTCAGGACCTATGACAAACACAAAAGTACTGCTTCAACATTTTTTTTCTGTAACTAAAACTAAAAAGAAACAAACTAATGAGAATGTGAAAGAAAATTTCTGAAGTACCATCTCAGTGAAACAATCTGGAAGGAAGTCTGTAGGAATACTAATTCATGCAATGACTGAAGGCTGAAACTTAGCCAAGCCAAGCCAAAAAAAAAATCTTCTGAACATTTGGGGATGTGTGAAAACTACAAATGCTAGAACAGTGAAGAGGAAACTGGGGATCTCATCCATATGTTATGGAAATGCTACTGCCCACTAGTAAATTATTTCTGGAGACCAGAAGAAGAACTCCTAATTCTGTTATAAACACAGGATCTTCCTGATGATTGAAGAGTTTTCACCTGGGAGTTCTTAATGGCCAGATACCATATGCCAAGGAATCATATTTAATATACAGTAGAATTACAATTGAGAAAAATGGAATTATTTAGAAATTATCTTTAAAACAGAAAGACTGTCACCAGGCCCCAAGGGTAATGGGGTCACTAAATGCAAGTTCAGAGATTCTACGTACAGTAGGTGCAGTTAAAGAGCTGCATGCAGATGCAGTTGCTGCACTGTTGTGAAGGATTTTGTTTGGGTCACAAATAATCCCTATTTTTGGATTTGGGAAGCACATTGTAAGACCAGCCAGTCTTTCAAAGCAGTGGAACATTTTAAAGGCATCCAAATCTATATGAAAATAAACTGAAAAGAAAAATCTTGAGGACCAGGTTCTGCCATTCTTATCTACCCTCATTCAGTCCTATTGAGTTGAGTTGGCCTGCTCAGCATAAGGCACCAGTCCGCATGAGTCAACATAGTAGAATCTGGCTTTATATTTTGTATTTGTAATATATTTCATAAATGTGAGGTATGTGATCCCATTCATTTGTTCTAATAGTAGAGCATGGGGACACTGCATTAAATTGAAAGACAACAAATTGTAAACTGTTACTTTTGAAACACAACACACAATTAAACTGCAGATCTCATTGCCACAATGCAATTGAATCCAAAGCTTAGTACTAGGATTCAAGATAGGATTAGACGACATACCTGCCAAAACACCAGCATTTTAATTCCGTCCTTGAGGAGGGATGGACAATCCATGAGGGCAGGAACAAATTAAATAGAATGGAGTAAGAAAAAGGATTTGGAAAATTGGGAAGGGAAAAATTAGCGGGGACAGAAGGAAATGATGTCAGAGAGTAAGAGAAAAAAAGAATGGAGGAAGAGGAAGATTAAAAGACAAGGTGATAAGTTTGAAACACTGTTTGAATTATCAAACAGAAAATATATTTGAACAGAATGATGGCACTGTGGGGAGGCATTACAGATCTCAATGCGATCTCAATGCTAGCACAGTGCAAGAGAGGGGACGAGAACACAGATCTAAATGGAAGCTCCAGAGATGTCCTTAATCTCAGAAATGCCATGTAATTGGGAGGAGCCGTGTCTGTTTTACTGAGGGATGATCTGAGCCCCAGCACAGATTTGACAATTGCCACCACAGCCTTTGACATGGGGGTATAGTCAGCACTGAAATCTGAAGTATGCCAGTTGCCCACAAGAGAGTCAGGGGGCAGCCTTCAAATTGACCAACATCCCATGCTTTTCAGTCCATTTCTACTGAAAATAGACCAGGTCTTCTCCACCTAGCATTAAATTAGCATGATATATTGTTAGGCCAGTGGTCACCAACCAGTCAATCGGGATCTACCAGTAGATCTTGGAGCCTCTGACAGGGGATCCTGACTGGCTTGGCCAGGAAGCTATCAAGCACTGGTACTTCAGTTGCCCCTCCATCCACTGTCATGTTGCTCCTGCCCTCTGCCTTGGAGCTGTCCCCCCAAATCCTCACCCCTCTTATCCCTCTGAACTTCCAGTGTAGCCAGCTCCCATTCCTCTTAAAGCTGGTGGTGGCTGACCCCAGGGTGGATAGGTCTACAAATCCTCAATCCAGGGATCAGGTGCATTATCCATTTCACCACTGGAAAAGCTGCCTCACCTCTCCAGTTTCAAGGGCCCCCTTATCCTTCCTATGTTCCAATGGTACCAGCTCCACACCTAGTGTAGTCAGTAGTGGCTGACCCTAGGTTGGGCAGGACTCAAGCCTTCAATCCTGGGCCCCTGAGGCAGGTGCCTTAGCCATTGTGCCACTGGAGGACTGGCTCCACTGGCTCTGCTTTCATAAGGCTTCCTTATCCTTCCTACCTTCCAGTGGTACCAGCTCCAATTCTCATCCCCCTTATCCTGCCCATGGTGCCAGCTCCCTCCCTTGAGAAGCTGGTGGAGGCTGCTGAGGGTGGGTGCATCTCAAATCCTCAGCCACCACCAGCTTACCTACCCCTCAACCCCAATGCACCACTGGTTTTAAAAAACTCTGAAGATAATAGTGCATCTCTATACTATTTATTTTGGTCTGGTATTGGAAGAAATAATTATCTGTATATCCTGTTATCGGTAATATTATCTTAATTTTAGCTGCCAACCACCAATCAAAACTTAACACTATTGGCACTGTCATTTTATTCTTATACCAAGATGACAGTTAGAACTTTGTTATGAATAAACAACATTTAAATGCAGTTTTAAATACATAGTTTTGCTTTGAACCTGAACATTTTCACTTCTTTGCTAAATAATACATGCATTTGCAGAAAATATTTCTCCTTGCTATTAAGAAAACAATAGAATTTTGGATTTATTCCAGGTACTGGTTTTATTTTTCATTTCTTTATGTATTCTTTTTTTTTTTTACTTAGTATTTGCGGAATTCAGCATCTGGAGAGAGCAGGAAACAAGTTGACTCTCTTTGACTCCCTTTATTTCTGCATAGTGACATTTTCCACTGTGGGCTTTGGGGATGTTACACCCAAAATCTGGCCTTCAAAACTGCTGGTTGTTATTATGATCTGTGTTGCCCTTGTGGTGTTACCCATACAGGTAAACTCTGTTTCCCGTTTAGAAAAATTGGGGACATTTTGGGGAAAAGACTATATTAACTTTAAATATATATTATAGCTGTCCTTAGTATATCTAATATCAAAAGAATGTACCATCTTGTATGCTTCATTTTATGAAAAAAAGTTGGAGCTTTTTTATTTGTCTCCTTGTTTGTACAATATATGTGGTATATATGCTAAAATGAGAACAGCTAATACAAGTTTTCAAATCCATGTATAACCAGCTGACTCCCATCTTATACCAAAGAACATACAGACACTGTGTTGTCCAAATTTAATTTCAGGATGGGATTTACCTATATTGTTAACTTAAATAACCGCACCAACACTAATCCGCAGCCAAAACTTTCTACAAACGCTTAGCTGTTCCTAGCATTTTCCCTTTGTTTTTTCTGCTTCAGACTAACACCTCAACCTCTCTTTTACAACTAGGTTAAAGCTATTTGGACAAACCAGATTTGATTTGTGACTCACACAGAAAGTCTCCATTTCCTTTTAGAGCATAAAATATAATTAACTCATACTGATAAAGATGTTTATATTGCATAGCTGTTTATATATATTTCATTCACATTTGACAATATATTACAGTTTGAACAGCTGGCTTATTTGTGGATGGAGAGACAGAAGTCTGGGGGTAACTATAGTCGACACAGAGCTCAGACAGAGAAACATGTGGTACTGTGTGTCAGCTCCCTGAAGATTGATTTGCTTATGGATTTCTTAAATGAGTTCTACGCTCATCCCAGACTGCAGGTATATTTACTATATAAAAGAGTAAAATAATAATAAAAAACTTCAGGTAGACATTGGCCCTCTGCAGACGTTTTCAGAATTGCTCTCTAATTGGTGTATCTAAATTAAAGAATGACTGACTGAAGGAAGGAAGTATATTTGCAAGAGATAGCTCAGGTCAAATATTGGGTGCAATCATTTCCAGTTGATCTAAACTGGATTAATCAGATAGAATACGCTTGTGCCACACACAGAATCTAATTACACAGAGTTTTACCAATTACCTTACAGCTAAATAATTATTACAATTCTTTTTATTAATTTAATACTATATTAAAAACCAGAGAAGTGGTTATTTCATGTTTTTTTCTGAAATTCTGGGGCCTCATTCACTGAAGTCAATGAGAGTTTTCAAACTTAAGAGATGCGATTACTGCAGTTAAGACAGAACTGGCCATAAGTGCAGTGGGCATAGCCTAAAAGTCAACATTACTCACAAGAGTTCTTCAGCATAAGAAAATTGGGAAATACAAAGAAATGTCTTTTTCATATAGTCTAACTGGCTGTGCAAAAGTTTGTTACCTCTGTAGAAAAGCCCTATGTATGCTCGAAAGTATTGAGATTTCTCACACCACCAGAAGTCAGTCTCTTGAAATCTTCACAATCATTTCTGGATAAAAGGCATTGGAATTTTGGTTCCATTATGACTAATTGTTAACAAAATATTGTTTGGGAGCTTTAGGCATGAACTACTTCTATGTACTTAAAATACATTATTACATTTTGCTAAAGCACATATGGCACTGTACATAATTAATTAATGGGCAAAATAGAATGTAACCTTTTAGGTGGGACAACCAGAACAGCACAGTATTCAGGTGTGGGCGCACCAGATTTACTTAGTGGCATTATGATATTTGCTGTCATTTTCTCTCTCTTTCCTAATACTTCCTAACATTGATAGCTTTTTTATTTTTGACTGCTGCTAAACACTGAGCAAATGTTTTAGAAAACTATCCATAATTATTCTGAAATCACTTTTGTGAGTGGTAACAGTTAAGACCAAATTGTCTTGATGCATAGTTGGCATTATATTTTCCAATGCACGTTAGTTTGCAGTGAACATGGAAATTCATGTGCCATTTTCTGGCTCACTCACCCGGTTTTGTGAGATCCCTTTTTAACTCTTCACACTCAGCACTGGGCTCAACTATTCTGAATAATTTTGTATCTGCAAACGTTGCCACCTCACTGTTTATTCCTTTTTCAAGATCATTTATGTGTATGTTGAACAGTACCGATCCCCATACAGACCCTTGGGGGATCTTGCTGTTTACCTCTTTCTGCTATGAAAACTGACCATTATTTCTAACCTTTGTTTCTTATCTTTTAATCAGTTACTGATCCATGAGAGGATCTTCCCTCTTATCCCATGACAGCTTACTTTGCTTAAGAGCCTTTGTTGAGGGACACTGTCAAAGGCTTTCTAAAAATCAAAGTGCACTCACTATATTTAGTGGATCACCCTTGTCCACATACTTGTTGACCCTTCAAAGGTTTCTAATAAAATAGGGGAAGCCCAATTTGCCTTTACAAAAGCTGAGTTCACTTTTCTCCAAGAAATTGTGTTAATCTATGTGTCGATAATTCTGTTATTTACTATAGTTTTAATCCATTTGCCTGCATACTGGAATTATGCATGTCATTGAAAAGATTGCCTCAGGAGCCTTTTTTAAAAATTGGCTTCACATTATCTAGCCACCAGTCATTGGGTACAGAGGTTAATTTAAATGATCAAGTACATGCCACAGTCAATAGTTCTGCAAAATTTATAGACAAATTCCCTTAGAATTCTTGGGTGCATGCCATCCGGACCTGGTATCAAGGACCAAGGCGAAGAATTCACTTAGCTTCTCTGCAATGTTTTAGTCTTGTTTGAGTGCTCCTTCGCCACCTCGAGCCTCTAGTGACCCCAGGGAATTTTTTGACGGTGTACATGCCCCTTTCTATTTTCCTTAGTATGATTTAGCTTCCAGTTTTTAAATGATGTATTTTTTGGTCTTTATCTCTTTTTCTGTGTTCTTTAGCCATAATGGCATTCATTAGTTCCTTTGCTTTTTTTCAATTTGGGACATACATATCATTTGATTCTCTGTTAGGGTACGTTTATACTACAGCACTAATTCGAACTAACTTAATTCGAATTAGTTAATTCGAACTAAGCTAATTCAAATTAGCACATCTAGACCCAAAAACTAATTGGAATTAGCGTTTTGCTAAGTCCACACTGATTGGACGCTGGGTCGCATTTAAGGGAAGCTGAAACCTGTTCCAGCAGGGCATCAGGTCAGTAGTTGCTTTGTGTGGCTGCTGTCTGAGGCTATCTGAGGCTCGTGCTTAAAGGGACCCTCCTGGACAGCCGGTTCTCAGCTTTTCTGCTTGCTTGCCTATGTCGCCGAGGGACAGCAAGTGTTTTTCTCTCCGTCTGCCTGTGTTGGTGCTTCCCATTGGGGACTATGCTGCTGATGGCACCATGGAGCCAGAGCTCACCCTGGGAATGCTGCTGCAGTTTTTGGACTTGCTGCTGCAAGCCTGCCAGCAATGGCTGGAAGCTGCCTGGCACCACATGGTGCACGTCAGCCCTCTGCCTCTCCGCCTGGCTGCCCTGGGGGCTGTGGAGGAGCTGCGGTGGCGCCCGGATGCCGGTGTGCCCCGCTGCATCTGGCGTCTTGACACCAGCAGCGACTGGTGGGACCGCATCATCCTGGAGTGCTGGGGAGACAGACAGTGGACCCAGAACTTCAGGACCCCCCGCCGCATCTGGCGCCTGGACAGCAGCAGTGACTGGTGTGACCGCATCATCCTGGAAAAGCGTGTGGCCATCGCCCTGTGGAAGCTCTCTACGTCGGACAGCTACTGATCCGTCGGGAACCAGTTCAGCGTGTGGAGATGCAACGTCGGAGCAGTGCTCATGCAGGTACGGCACCCACCGGTCACTGGGCCAGAGGCCCCCGCCGCATCTGGCGCCTGGACAGCAGCAGTGACTGGTGTGACCGCATCATCCTGGAAAAGCGTGTGGCCATCGCCCTGTGGAAGCTCTCTACGTCGGACAGCTACTGATCCGTCGGGAACCAGTTCAGCGTGTGGAGATGCAACGTCGGAGCAGTGCTCATGCAGGTACGGCACCCACCGGTCACTGGGCCAGAGGGAAAGAGGGTCTGCAAGGAGGGGATGGACCACTCCCGGGAAAATGAGGGGGGGAGGAGGCGAAAGTGCCCCTCACCGGAGGGTTCGGTCTGTCCTGGCCGTACTACACACTGCCCGCGGAGGTTGCTTCCGGGAGTGGGGCGTGAGGCAGTGCCAGGGAACGAACACTCTCAGCCACCCGGGTGCCCCAGTGATTCGTGGTTTGCTGTGTGTCTCTGCAGGTGGTTAAGGCCATCAACCAGGTGCTGCTCCGCAGGGTGGTCTGCCTCGCCAACCCGGATGCAGTCATCTGGGAGTTCGGCACCCTCGGCTTCCCCAACTGTGGGGGGGCCATCGACGGGACGCATATCCCCATCCGTGCCCTGGAACACCAGGCCTCCCAGTACATCAACCACAAGGGGTACTTCTCCATCCTCCTGCAGACCGTGTCTGACCACCGGGGCCAGTTCACAGACATTAATGTGGGCTGGTCCGGCAAGGCACACGACGCCACAGTGTTCCGGAACTCCTCTGTGTGCCAGAGGCTGCAGGCTGGGAGCCTCTTCCCTGACCGCCACATCAGGGTTGGGGACATGGACATGCCTGTGTGCCTGGTGGGGGATGTGGCCTACCCCCTGGCTGATGAAGCCGTACACGGGGCACCTCAACCCCTCCCGGCAGGCCTTCAATGCCAGGCTCACCAGGGCCCGCATTGTGGTCGAGGGGGCCCTCGGACGCCTGAAAGCCCAATTTCAATGCCTTCTCACCCGTCTCAACCTCACCGAGCACAATTTCCCTCCCGTGGTGGCAACATGTTGTGTGCTGCACAATTTAAGTGAGCGGAAGGGGGAGGCTTTCCTGCCAGCCTGGATGGCTGAGGGTGAGTGCATGGCTTGTCAGTACATGCAGCCCTGCACCTCTGCCATCTGGGAGGCCCAGCGGGGGGTTGTTTGGATCTGGGAAGCCCTGCGGGAGAGCTTTCAGGTGGAGGAGGAGGACTGAACTCTCCCTGCATGCCCCACTGGGGCCTTCTTCCACCCTCTCCTCCTTCCCCTTTCCCCTCCCTAACCTCCCTTCCTAATGTCAAATAAACACACCTGTTTAGACAACAAAAATCTCTCTTTATTGTACGTAACTGGGGTGGGGGAGGGAGGAATGAGGGTGGGAAAGGGGAGGGGAAAACCTGGGAGAAGGTAGCTGGAAGGGAGTGGAAGGGGAGGAAGGGAAGGGAAAGCTCAGGTTTGGGGGTCCTGCTAGCTGTGGGTGCGGGGATGTTGGGGGGGAGTGGGTGTGGAGGGTGA